GATTACGGAATGCTAGTTTGCACATTGTGGATTAAGAAAGATATTGAGCTCATCGAAGCGGTGTAACGGAGGGCAACAAAGGTAGTCAAAGGAATTATCTTACCAAATAGATTGAAAAGTTTAACTTATTTCCCTTTTCTTACACGCACTTATAGTGTAGCCTGCTCTGGACATTTCGGATAATCCGGGTCATGGTTCCTCCCGGAGATCGGAGGATTTCTTCGAGTTTGCCAGCCAAACTAAATTGTATGACGATCCTTACAAAATTACGAGTAAACGTCTTCGACTGGACCTCAAAAATTTATCTTCAGCCAAAGAGTGGTATGACCTTTAAACTCCTACGAAACGAAACGGTTATCATCGACAGCATTTCTGATTTAAAAAAGACCTAATGACATTATATTTGACTAGAAACGACTCTCACAACACGACTTTTAATTGTCAACATTATAAACTCTCACTGGCTCAAGTTTTTCTCCAGTGTTCGGCATTGTACGTCGACATCTCACCCAATTTTATGTTATGCTTTGACTACGGGACATTTAAATGTCTAGAAATTGATTTTTATTGTAAACTGCAATGGTTACTTTACATAACGAGGAGCATTTCTCGCCTGTAACGCTTGAAATATAGATATGCATTCAGGGCGAAAGTCTTCTTCCTTTAATAGTGACTTAAAGATTTACGTAAACGCTATCCATAATACACCACCGGCATGTTTTAGATACAGCTTAAAACAGGAACTATTTTCTAAAGCGCTTAACGTAAATACCTAAGCATAGACATTTCTGTGATAAATAAATTTCTCTAACAGGTTAAGTCTGAGTGTTTAAGTCAGCTCTATAACAAAGCGCATTTTCAAACTCGTTTGAAAGTTTGATGATTTTTATTGTTTTGACTATTGACTTGGAAAATGAACAGACGTGAACGTGTGTACGACCGTCGAAAGTATGCTTCTACATTGGAATACTCGGAAAAGTTGCTTAAAGCATTACCATACTTATCCTGTCAAGTAAGTTTAATGGTTTAGCTATATTCTTTCCGCGCCGAAATCATTATAGTGGGTTTTTCATTTGCTTGTCTGTTAAACATAACAACATCGTATTTCTTTATAATGGATTATCATGCTTTTGATAAATAAATCTATTTTATGTTAATAATATGAGAAATTGTCGTTAATATTCTCACATGAGAAATTCGCCTAGATTTTTTCGAACAGCCGTGCATTGTTATTTTCAAGAGATAGCTGTACAGTCGCATGGACACAGACTGGGTCAACTGCAGTTTGAAGTAGTCGTCGAAGTAGTCAACCCCCGTGCTACACCAATCTGAAAGTGATATCCAATTTTTTCTGGACCCAATTCCACTCTGGCTGTGAGGGACGTCGAGTTAACCAATTGGAGACCCAAGAAGACTTAGTAGACACTGCGCTCAAAACCACCTTTGGTGGCAGTCTTTAATCTGTGAGCGCTTGATCGGGGACGGCAACACAGAGCTCGTCAGACAGACGACGAAGAACGTACCCAAACCCCACCACTCATCTTCCTTGGATAGCCTGGTATATCCTCGCGATATTGTGAAGGCAATTGCGGACTATGGCAGATGAGAAGAAGTCGGCGTTATTCACATGAAAGACGGTTCTCAGACACTGATGTTAAGATGTCCCAAATTTTCGATCTTCCCCCACTCGCACAGACCGGTACCTACAACTATAGAGGTGGTCTGACCGGACGGATGCACGGTGAACACGGATGTTCGTGGCGATATCGCGTCGGGTCAATAGGTGCTTTTGAAGAACGTAGAAAACAATGTCGGCCTTACTCTATTTTTTCGGCATCAGTCGTAGTCCGAAGTATTTGAGACTGCCCACTTTTTCTAGTTGACAGCCAC